GAAGTTGCCTGATAAGAATTAAATTATTACCCAAGTTTTCAATTTTCATGCATCATTTTTTTAATATAAATTGTTATTTTCTATATTTTTTTTTCTCTTCTTTCATGCATCCAATGAAAAATTGTATCCTAAGTTTTAGCGAACTGCAATTAAAAGAAAAAAAGCAAGACGATAAGGATGCCACGTCTGTCACGACAGGGACATATTATTGCTTCTGAGTTTATACTTCGTAATGCCTCCTCATTCTCTCTCCCTTTTTTACGCTTCAGAATGGAATTTATTTTTTCATATATAAGATTTAGAAATTGCATATATAAAAAATATAATATTTTTTAAAAATTATAAAAATATAGTGTTCAAAAATTGATAATAAGGTGTAAATACTGAAATAAAAAAACAAAAAATTATAAGTTTTAAAAATAATAAGGTATATTTAAAAAATATTAAAAAATTATAGAGAGTCAAAATTTATTGATGACGATTTTTTTAAAAAAATTAAAATACTAAAAAGGTGCCACTAGCAAATTTTATTTTATTTTTTATATTTTGTAACTTTTCTTATAATGTCATATTTTAGTAAATTTTTTCTTTTTTCATATAAAAAAATCCTCAGAATAGAGTGCCCTTGCATTTTTACTATTTTAAGATTAAGATTAATGAATATTTAGCATTATACAATGTTTAATGTATTTTATTTTTTAAAATAATCTTCAATACTGATGCTTTTATCATCTAACTCTTGTTTTTTAATCAGTATTTGAAAATATTTTATTAGTTGAGGCTTCTTAAAATTCAAATAGGGATTTGAGAGGACCTTGCCTAGTAAAAAAAAAAAAGAATAAACTTTGTAAAATTGCTATGAAAAATGGTAACCAGTAGCAGGTCACTGAAGAACTGGTAGAGTCGTAGTTGAAATGTTCAATAAAGTTTACTTCTAAAATTCATAAAGTTTCAAGTGATTTTTGCTGACGGTAAATTTCATTTGGACCACTAATCGCGTTTGCTGTGGGAACCTTATACTTCAAATTAAAAAAATAATATATATATATAAAGAAGCAGATTTTTTATAAATTTAAAAATTCATATACTTAATTTCAGTTTTTTTATTTAATTTATATTTGATAAAATATAATTTATTATTTTACTAATCTTTAAATAAAAAATTAAATTAAATTAAATATAAATTTTTTTAAAATTTACAGTTTGAGAATATATTTTTTCATCTTTCTTTTCAATATAGCAAAACATGGATTGGGGCGATGCTGATTAATCAACTGGCACCGATGACACTGGCCTCTAGTTTTTTTTTTAAATATAATTTCGTTGAAAAGGGTACAAGAAAAATTAAAATTACTTTTAAAATTTATTTAAGAAGTTCATAATAAATAATATTTTAAAATATTTATTTTTTGACGAAATTTAATTATATTGTGTTATTCATATAATTAACTGTACTTAATAAAATGACTTCAATAAGTTTTATTCGAACAATCCTGCAGAAGATACACGTGCTTAAACAAAATATAATCTAACATATTTTTAACATGTATTTAAAAATGTACATTAAAATTAATATATTAAAAAGATTACATATTATATTCTTAAAAAATTTATTGATTTTTACTATACACATGAAAGTATACATTAAAAAATATTTTATAATTCGAGACCTATTTAATTTGGCAGTCTCAAGATTCCAACCCGACCTGGTCTGTCAAGGTTTGCTGAATATTCATATTTATTTGTCCAATAAAATGAATGAATGCGGAAAAGTAATTGATTCCTCATCGTTGGAAAAATACAATAAACAGACGTTGCTTAATCAGATAGACGTGTATTTGTTTCTTATTTTATGAGAAAGATGACACAACTTCAAATAACCCCACCACAGTACTTCCACTCACTTTTCAATATTACAGGGCTTATTAGTGGTTTAGGTTCGTACATAACACTTCTGCTTTATTTAGAACACCATCAATTATAAAACAAAAGTCACCCAATTTTTTTTTTTAATATCCTTTTCATGGTTTGATGTAATATAAAAGCAAAGGAGAAACAAAGTATGTGTTTCGAGCCAACGTTTTTTCCTTTCTCATTTATATTGTCGAGAAACTAAAGATAGAGTATGCAACTTTTTCTTTTTTTTTTCAAATTAAACAAAATATATTTAAATTTGTGAATGAAGGAATATTGCATTTGATTAAAAGTAGTTGAGTAATATATTAAGGTGAAAGACCCATTATAACCTGATATATTGAATAAATATTTTTATTTTATTTTAAATAAATAATGCGTATTTAATCCATATAATAAATAATCAATGATTTTCATAAAATTTAAAATGCTAATTTTCCAATTCTTGCATCAAAATTAAAAAAGAAAAGAAAAGAGCGAGTAGTTTATTAAAATAAGATTTCTCAGACACACATGGGTGCATGTTTATGCTTGAAAAGAATTAAAATTTTTTACCTTGTGAAAAGATGCAGAAGGCATAAAAGCAGAGGGTTCAAAATCTGCGTGTTGTGTGTGTGTTGGGGAGAATAGAAACTAAATAATTTGACTTTCATGTAATTTAAATGTTGGAACTGTTACACTAACAATGCTTGTGTTTCCTGATCTTACACCAAGACTTCAATCATTAGTCCCTTAAATTAAATATTATATCTTTTTAGGCCCTCCCCATTTTTAAGACCCTTCTTTTTAATTCCCATTTTCCACATAAGCTCCTTATAATACAGCCTTGCACTTGGTGCAGATTATTATTTATTTATTTACAGAACTAGTACATGTGCACGCCATTCCATGCCACTAGTTTACGGACCCCGTTTGGTTGTTTTAAAACTGCCAACAGAGATATGCTTAATTTGTATTATTTGGTTTTCTTATAATTTTATTTTTTTAGAATTTGAAGAGTATTTATTATATATATATATATTATAATTTAATTTTAATTAATATAATAATAAAAACCAAATTTAATTAAAAGTAAATTTATAATAGTTTTTTTTTCAAAATAATGTATAATATGTGTGGTTTAATTGAAATGTTATTGTAAAAATAATTGGAATTTTTTAATACAGAATATTAATTTTTTTTTTATAACTCAGTTTGAACAACTAATAGTAATAAAAATTATTTTAAATGTAAATGTTTATTATATTTTTATAATTTTTTAACACAATAAATATTTTTTAATAAAAAATAATTTTTAGTTCTTAAATTTAGTCTTAAAGATATTAACAGATTCTTACTTAATTATGTTATTTATTAATAAAATCAAGGATTTGGCATGCTTAGTTGGATGCAATAAGCAAATTAATAATAATAAAAAATACAAATTATTGATTTAAAGCATAAATATGGGATTTCTAATATAGTAAGAACGTAAAAAGAGTTCATGTAATTGAAATAGTTAGTTTAAAAGATAAATAATTCTTAAGCATTCTTAGACTACAAGGTAGCAGATTTATAAAGTATTTATGTAGACGTGAAAAATTACATAATTATTTAATATTTAATAAACAAAGTTATTATTTTCGTCCTTTTAAATTAAAGATTAATTTTAATTTTATTCTCTAACTTTTTTTTATTCAGTTTTTTTTTCAGTTATAATAGTGTTAAATTTTTTACCACAATTTATCCTGAGATTAAAATTTTATCTTACAGCACAATGAAGTAGTTCATTTTGCTCTATTTAATTCTCAGTGTGTAAACCATAAAACGTAACAAGAATTTATCGTGAATGTCATACATTAATGGAAACAAAAAAGTTTTGATCAACTTTTGTTAAAATATGAAAACTTTGTGTTAAAAAACAAAAGGGATTACAATTAAATGTTACGTATTAATAAATGAAATAATATAAAATTTTGAAATATTAGTTATAATTTAAAAATCTGTAAAAAAACAATTTCAACAATCGTTAATAAAAAAATTCAAAACTTTAATCGAATTTAATGTCAATTTAATAAAAGAGCTGACATGATACACAAAGGTTAAAAAGCCAAAGCAAATTAAAAAAGTACAAGACAAAATTAAACCATTGTTGCAAAAATATTAATTTTACCTGTTCAGTATTAATTAGCTTGGCATGTACAACTTTATGCACCATGTAGATGACGGGATTTCTCACTATCTCTTAATTCTGTTAAGTTAATTATATTCTGTAACGCGATATTTATGTTGATGTAAATTAACTGGCGAAAAAAAAAGTATCGTATGGTGAATCCTAAGTTGAGTTTGGATTTCGTTGATTAAGAAATTTGCTCAAAATTTTTAAAAACATTATAAACATTTTTCAAGTAAAAAAAGAAGAGGATATAATCCATGCTTTTGAAGACAAGGTAAGATCAATCAAAGTGCCTTCTCTGCACTTTAGTTATCGTTTTCTTTTTTTGGTACAAGTCACAAACCGTTTTTAAGTAAAAAAATCTTATTAATTAATTAGAGTTTAACATGAAATACTATTAAAACATATCAATTTAGTTTTATAATATTTGTAAAATTGATAATCTATTTGAATATTCAAATTTAAAATTTGCACATTTGAGAAATCCATTCAAATTTGATTATACGGTGTAACCCAATAGCTATAATAACAATAAAGATCCATGGATTATGTTTTAAAATGGAGCTTGTGAAAATAAAAAAGGGTGTAAATTATAATGTAATGCAAGTGTGAAAGTATGAATTAAAAAGGAAGAGATGCATGGAGGAAAGGGAAGCATGGGAGAGGCGAAAAGGACAGGCACCCATCAATATCTGAAAGAAAATAAAAAAGAATCCAACGGTGGAGGAACATCCATCCGCGGAAACACGGAGCCGCTCACGCCCAAGTCCTTGGAATCTCACCCTTCCATACAAACAGAAAGAGGCAGTGAGAGAGTGCACGCAGACACACACTCGCTCGCTGCCTCTCAACTAACCTAACTCTGGTTAATTCTCAACCCAACCCCACCACACCATTTTCACCCTTCTCTTCCTCAGTTAACGTTTATTTATACCCCAACTGCACCTTCCCTCAAGTTCCATTCACCCTCTTCCCCTCTCTTATTTTCCCGTTACTTGTTCTCGTTCTCCTCCTCTTCCGTTTTCATGTGAGGTCATTTTGTTTGCAGAACACAACATAAACCTCGTCACTCACTTTCTTAATTAACCCAAAGAGGCATGAGTTGCAACGGCTGCCGTGTCCTTAGAAAGGGTTGCAGCGAGTCATGTATCTTGCGACCTTGTCTTCAATGGATCGACACCCCCGAAGCCCAAGGCCATGCCACTGTCTTCGTAGCCAAATTCTTCGGCCGTGCCGATCTCATGTCCTTCATTTCCAACGTCCCTGAACCTCAACGCCCTGGTAAATTAATTTCACTGTAACTTCACCTCACTTAACTGGAGCTTTTTTGTTTCTGTAAAACTAAAGCTGCTTTTGTGCAGCTCTGTTTCAATCTCTGCTGTTTGAAGCGTGTGGACGAACGGTCAACCCTGTCAACGGTGCCGTCGGGCTTTTATGGACCGGCAACTGGCACGTGTGCCAGGCCGCGGTTGAAACGGTGCTCCGTGGTGGCACCCTCAGGCCCTTGCCGGAGCTTCTTGGCTTAGATGCTCCTTCTTCCACCGCCGACGAAGCCTCCGAAGGGGAAGTCACCTGCACCGACATGTGGAGGCTCCGAGATCCGAACCAGAATTTCCGGTTCGGGAACTCGAGGTCTGAGAAGGTCGCTTCCGGCGGTAAACGCAAGCGATCGGAGGAACTCGCCAAGATTCAGACGGCAACTGATCTTAATCTCCGGTTAACGCCGACTTTTCTGCAGAACGTGTCGACCTACGGCTGCCGGCGGGAAATTCGCCGGCCGGGGTCGCCGTCGATGAACTCGGAGGAATCGGTGACGACGACGGCGTGTTTGGAAAGCGGGATCGGAAATCACTACGCTCCCGACGGAGACCGGAAAGTGCTGAACCTTTTCATTTGAGGGTTCTCTCTCTCTCTATATATATATATCTGAGATTCGTGTTTTTCTGAATCGTCTAATTAAGGAGTCTCACGCACGCGCATCTTTTTGTCTCTTTTTTGAACGTTTTATTTTGAGACGAGGGTTTTCCCGGAATTGAAATCCGGTGAGATTTTGTAAGACACGCCGGCACAGGATTTTTCTCTCTGGTTCTTTGTAGACAGGGAGAGAAAGATGAGGGTTCGTCGGTGATAATTTTTCATTTCCTTCCTTTTTTTTGTTTTCCTTTTTCTTTTCTATCTGTCCAACATGTTATGATGGTGTGACATGAATATTAAATAATTAAATACATATTTCTTTTATTTTCATTATTGCTTTTACCAGAGGAAAAATGAAAGCAAGAAATTTATCTAATCAAATCAATACATCTTTGAATAAAGTTTTGGTGCTTATTAATAAAATTTTGTGAATGCGAGCTTAATTTGAACGAATTAGTTAATAGAATTGAGTAGGCGAATGAATATTCAGTTTTTTAATTATTTGGGTCGTGGTTTACCAGCTCTAAAGAAATTGACCTGATCCGTTAACAAAAGGTATATATGTGGGAGCTGTCTGATGACTCGGACTCAATACAGATGTCGTTGTTATCTACCCGCCCTTCGATGTATAAATCATTAAATTGTGCCCCTTTAAATTTATGCTTTTATTTTAAAATAAATAAATAAATAATTATCTGCAGTTCAAAAAGAAAGGATCTGGTTGCTATATTGATTATATAATTTGGAGTACAATTCTTTCAGCACAATCGAGTTGATAATTTCAAATCAAATTCGTAATTTTTTATATAAGCCCTTCTTCAAAGTCTTGCATGAATATTTTTCACTTATTTGAGAGGATTCGGTCATTCATAGCTGGTTAGACCAGTAATATACTTTAAGAATGCGGAAATAATAAGATTGAGATAACTGAAATATTTGAGGCCTGAGGAGGTGAAGTTGTTATTAGTTTGAAAATCGGGCAACTTTATGGGCAGCGAAGAAAAATGAACAACACTTTATTGTCAGTGATGATGTTTGCAGAATCCTATACTTGAAAACTGTTAAATACTGAAATACTGCTAGAAAATAGCACGGGTTGCAGCGGAGAATCGAGAAAATAGAAAATATATATGGGATTTTATACGTTAAGCTAGCTATTAATAAGTGGTGAGAAATGAATAAATAACTAGTAAGTGAAAGGGAGGGAAGAAAAGAGAATGAAGCATAGGATATTAATGTAAGACGACTTTTGGAGGATGCGAGGAGGCGTAGAAACTACAATGACAGAGTCGGAATCGAGAAGCTACAAACGAAACTGCCCATGGTTTCTTGTCTTTGTTCCTTTGCCTTTTACCAACAAAGAGAACGACTTGCGTGAGCGTCTAGTTTTGGCTTTCTTCCTCCTAGTGTTGTCCAGTTTTAACAATTAAAATATGGTTTTTGTTAAGTATTTATACAAAGTAAAAATTTATTGTAAAGATAAATTTTTGTCATGTGAAGAATCTAAAAAGATATAATAAATGTTTTTTATATATCTTTATTTTTCATCTCACAAATATTACATTTAGATAACTTTTTTTTTATATTCTTGCTATTAATTTTTGTAAACGTCTATATTTAACGAAAAATAGTTAATATTAGAAAATTATCCGTCATTTAACTAGAGAGCTTGGCCGTTGAATATGAAAAGACTCAAATTTTAGCCTCAAAGAATGCAACTGATTAAAAACGATCAAGTTTAATTTTTAGAATACAAAATCATCTCGATTAACTTAAAATTACAAAATAAATTATATTACGTTTGTATTCTGTATGACATTTTCAATATTTGGTCTTCCTAATTTAGTCATTGATTGAATATCTTGTAGCTTTGGTTTCTCACCAAGTCCTAAAGGGGAACGAGTGGGAGCCACTTGATCACCACAAAGGCACAGAAATTACAATATTTTGCCAAATCAGAGATAATCCAATAAGAATGTGGAGAAAAGAAAGTGAAGGAAAAACGATTTGAGGATGAGTTGAATGGAAAGGAAGTGCAGGAAATGGCTTTTTATTTTTAAGCAATGCTGCGTCTCGCCGCATTTGGCATGGAGCCCACGGAACCTTCCCCCATACTCACACACACCCCTCTCTTTGCACTACTACTAGTCACTAGTTAATTCAACCTTCTTTTGAAAGTTGATACTTGCACCCAGTAATGTCTATCCACTCTCTATGCGCCTCGCCACGCCTCCTCCTTCGTTGGAAGTGGAATGACTTCTTCTCTCAGCAACACCACCACACCTAATTAACACCCATTTATGATATCATCTAGTACTTGCTACAGTACACAAGCTTCTTTAATGCCTCATCCTATTAGCATTTTAATCTAATATATTTTTTTTTATTTTAGCGATTGTATCTTATTTTTTGGCAATTTTATTTAAATAATGTAATTTTAAAAATTATTTCTAAAAATAAAGTTAATTAAAAACTATTTTTTTAATTGAGACTTTTTTTTGTGAAGTAAAAAAGTATATTGAAGATCTACGGATGATACTATTTTTTTATTATTTTTTAAAATAGTATCGTAAATATTAGATTGATACTCACTCTAGTAATGACAAGTGTCAAGCGTAGAACTAGTATTTCACTTTTTTAGACGATGGTGCTATCTCTACTTTTATAACGATACTGCTATTTTCATATCAAGTCTGATACTAAGTAAAATGTTAACATGTGACATTAGTTTAAAAAATATTAAAAATTATAATTTATAAATATTTAAATTTACAAATTTAAGATATATAAATTTAAAAAAATACTTAAGATTTAAATTTAAAATATTTAAAATTATGATTTTTTAAAAATTAAAATTATAAATTTCAAAATAACATGAGACTACAACCAATAATTCAACTAATCATGTAATTTTAGCTCTTAAAAGACTAAAAAAAAAATCATAACTTGATTTAAAATAAAGTACTTGTTGTTTTTTTCTCTATATTAGTGGTGTTAATTAATGAACAAAATGTATATATTATTTTGCTAAGAACAATTTCATATTATGATAAATAATTCTATAACAACAAATAATGAAGATTATAAATATTAAAATAAAAATATGAATAATAAAAAATTAATTTTAATTATAGTATTAATTTTTAGTTAAAATTAGTTAAATAAAAAAAGTTTAGACATAACATCCATAAAAAATAAAAATTAAATTTATAATTATCTGACTTATTTAAATAATAAATTTTTAAAATTTTATTAGAAATCATAAGATATTTATTTTAATTTTAGTATTAATTATTACTAAAGATAATCTTAATTATCTTTTATATTCATATTTTTAATTATAATTTTTAATATTTTTTAAATTAATGACATGTGTTAACATCTCACTCAGTATCAGACTTGATATGCAGATAGAAGTATCGTTACAAAAATAGAGATAGCACTATGTTTAAAAAAGTGAAATACTAGTTTTGTGCTTGACACATGTCATTACTAAAGTGAGTATCGATCTAATATGTGCGATACTTTTTTAAAAAAAATAAAAATATCATCCTAAATCTTCTCATACATTCTTTTACGTGACAAAAAAAACCTCAAATAGAAAAATAGTTTTTAATTAACTCTATTTTTAGAAATAATTTTTAAAATTTCATTATTTAAATAAAATTGTCTCATTTTTTTAATGATTTTTTCTCCAGTTTTATTTTTCGTAGTACATTCACTAACTGAAAATCTCATTAATTAAATTTTGCCATCACTATTATAATATGACACATGACAAAAGTAGGCTTGAATAATTCTGACATTTGTTTAAAATTTTAAATATGTGTAGAATTTAAACTAAAAATAAAAAGGAAAAGTGCAAAAAGGACACGGTATCATGAAAAGAGACAGAGTCTCACCACCCATAGATAAAGAGAACAAACTTAAATGACTGACTTTTGTTTAAACGAAAAACTTCAAAAAGGAAAATTTTGAAGAGCTAGATAAGAATATTTTCTCAAAGGATGATTAATAGACATATTGGAGTGTTAATAGTTGCATATTTTTTTAATGCTTTCCTGCTTATAATCATGCTTTATTAAAAGTATTAATCCAGTATTATATTATAAATATAGTTTTTTTTTATTCGAAACAGATAAGAGTTTTTTTTTAACTAGGACACGTGTCTTCATAAAGTATTTTATTTTTTAATTTATATTTATTTTAAGTTTTGAATCACAACACAATACATCATTTTGAAAGTTGTAAACTTTGTCAATTTCAAGTCAAATTTATTTTTTTAAAAATATATATAAAGAAAAGCACGCAACGAAATATGAAGAGCAAAAATAAATGTCCAACATGCTAATTTATTCTTGCACAACTTTTAAGTTTGACAAGGTATGTTGATAAATATAGTTGTAACTTGTGATGGAAATAATGTATTGCAATTTTGTTTATATCAGTATTATTAACATGACAGGTGCCAAAGTTTTTATTAACATGCCACTGAAAAAATAATAATATTTTTTGTTCACTGAAAATAATGACTTTCGATTGTCAAGAAAAAAATAAATTTAATATGAAAAAGAAAGTGACAAACCAAAGCCAAAATAAGTTAGGTTTCACACTTACGTGGACTATTAACAAGGCGCGGAACTAAAAAGTAATAACTACACAACGTTGTTATTTTTAAAAAAGTTACATAATTAAGCTGTGTTCTTAAAATATGAAGTAATGTACAGATAAAAAAATATTAATTATATTTTAAAATTATTAAGTAATATTAAAAAATAATTGTGTCATCTATCTGTTTATTGGTCCATAATCTTATGTCCTCTGAAACGTAGAGAATAAAGAATAGGTGCATATGGGTGGCACGTGGACAAAAACATGGAATATGAAAACTGGATGTGGCAAGCAAAATTATTCGAAGGAGGACAATATGAGCGAAGGTGTGACGCGGATTTCACCAACGTTCCTTTTCGACAATGAATTTTGGCAATCACGACAAATTCCAAGCTTCTTGGTGCTGATGCAGTCTCACTATTGAACAAAAAGATATCTTCTAATTCTTAAATATCATTCTCTGAATTGTAGGTCCTTCCACATAATTAAATCACTTCACTTTCGTAATTTTCATATAATTACTTCTATTAAAACGAATTTAACTTGTGCTACATTGCATAAAATAAAAATTTATATGTAATTATTTTTTAATAAAAAATATAAATTTTATGTTTTGTAATAGATATATATATTTAAGGAATCTCACTGTGCATTGTTAAAAATATATATAATCCCTGAGTATTAAAATATGCATCAACAGATGGTCAATTCTACTTC